GGCCATTTCCAGGCTGGCCACACCCCCTTCAGGGTGGGGGTCCCCACTGGGGTGCCTGGCCAGCCTGGGTGAGGGGCTGATGGCTGTTTGCAGCTGGTCACACCCCCTTCAGGGTGGGGGTCCCCACTGGGGTGCCTGGCCAGCCTGGGTGAGGGGTTGATGGCTGTTTGCAAGCTGGTCACACCCTCTTCAGGGAGGGGGTCCCCACTGGGGTGTCTGGCCAGCCTGGGTGAGGGGCTGATGGCTGTTTGCAGGCTGGTCAAGCCACCCCCCCAGTGGGGACCCTCACCCCATGGAGGTTTGGCCAGCCTGGGTGAGGGGCTGATGGCTGTTTTCAGGCTGGCCACACCCCCTTTAGGGTGGGGGTCCCCACTGGGGTGCCTGGCCAGTATAGGTGAGGGGCTGAGGGCCGTTTTCAGGCTGGCCAAGCCCCCCGGAGACAGAAGCTCCCAGCCTCTCCTTTTTTCTTTTTTTTTTTTATTCTGTGATTTATTTACCTTCTATAATTGAAACTTTGTTGCCTTCACTGGAACTCAGAGCCAGCTCCTGCTCGCTCCAGTTCCGTGGCCACAGCCTGCTGAAAGCAGGTATCTGGGGTTTATTTATCTTCTATAATTGAAACTTTGTTGCTTTGAGTGGAGTTCAGAGCCGGCCGGGAAGCTTGGCTTCCTCCATAACTGGAGCAACCAAGCCTCCTGCTCGCTTCAGCTCCATGGCTGCCGGCGCCATCTTGGTTGGGTTAATTTGCATATAGTAACTCTGATTGGCTGGTGGGCATGGCTTAAGGCGTAGTGAAGGAACAGTCAATTTGCATGTTTGTCTTTTATTAGATTAGATGAAGAAAAATCACTTGATAAGATACAACATCCATTTATTATTAAAACACTCAATAACATAATAAAAGCCATCTATGATAAACCCTCAGCTAATATCATACTCAATTGCCGTAGACCAATTCCAGCATGTCATAATTTCAAGAGTTTCATCAAAAGGTTGATGAGACTTGGGGACTCAACAGGGTTGAGTCACACATGTAGTCACCTGTTGGGAATGGCTAAAGGCATTTCCCCAATCCTGAATAGGAAACTAATTGTGGATGCCAGACAGTTAAAGGGCATCTTAATCTACATGTTATTGCCTCCTACTGGCCAAACACCTGAACAGCCGTAGGCTAATTCCCCCATTCTGACAATACTTCTGTACCCTTTGAAACCTTACCCTTTGAAGTGTATTTTCTCCACCTTGCCTTAGGACAAATTGTGTTAATAAAAGCAAGGGTCCTAGACAAGGAGGGAGTCTTCAGTTAGTTCCTTTAGCTGAAAGTCCTCTGACCCCCAATGCTTTTCAAAATTATATCTTGTCTCCGGACTCTTTATTAGTCTCTGGATTCCTATGTCATGTATGCACAGCCTTTTCCAGATTCCTGAACCCTTCTTGATGCTGGGACAAGAACCCCAGCACTCAATGGTGAAAAACTGAAAGCTTTTCCTCTAAGATCAGAAACAAGATAAGGATGTCCACTCTCACCATTACTATTCAACATGGTGCTACAAGTCCTAGCCAGAGCAATAAGGCAAGAGAAAGATATAAGGCATCCAAATAGGGAAGGAAGAAATCAAACTGTCACTTTTTGCAGATGACATGATTCTGTATACAGAAAACCGTAAAGCAGGGGTCCTCAAACTTTTTAAACAGGGGGCCAGTTCACTGTCCCTCAGACCGTTGGAGGGCCGGACTATAGTTTAAAAAAAACTATGAACAAATTCCTATGCACACTGCACATATCTTAGTTTGAAGTAAAAAAACAAAACGGGAACAAATACAATATTTGTATTTGCATGTGGCCCGCGGGCCGTAGTTTGAGGACCCCTGTCCTAAAGGCTCCACCAAAAAACTATTAGAAACAATAAACAAATACAGTCAAGTTGCAGGATACAAAATCAATCTGCAAAAATCCATTGCCTTCTTATATAATAACAACACATCAGAAAAAGAAGTGAAAAAACCAATTCCTTTTGCAATAGCAACCAAAAGAGTAAAAAAATACCTACAAATAAACTTAACAAAGACTGTGAAAGACCTATATACTGAAAATTACCAAACATTATTAAAAGAGATTGAAAAAGACACAACAAAATGGAAGAGTATTCCATGTTCATGGATTGGAAGAATCAACATGTTTAAAATGGCTATATTACCCAAAGCAATATACAGGTTTAATGCAATCCCCATCAAAATCCCAATGTCATTTTTTTAAAGAATAGAATGAGAAATCATCAGATTTGTATAGAACCACAAAAGACCCAAAAATAGTCAAAGCAATCCTGAGAAAAAAGAATGAAGCTGGAGGTATGCTACCTGATTTAAAATTATACTACAGAACTATGAAAATCAAAACAGCATGGTATTGGCATAGAAACAGACACACCTATCAATGGAACAGAATAGAGAGCCCCACTATAAAATCACATGTATATGGACAGGTAATTATTGACAAAGGAGCCAGAAATACACAGTGGAGTAGAGACAGTCTCTTCAATAAATGGTGCTGGGAAAACTGGAAAGTCACATGCAAATGAATGTAACTGGATTACAGTCTGTCCCCATGTACAAAAATTAATTCAAAATTGATCAAAGACCTAAATATAAGACCTAAAACAATAAGTTACATAGGAGAAAATATAGGTACCAAACTTATGGACCTTGGTCAGAGAGAACATTTTTTTTAACTTGACCCCAAAGGCAAGATAAGTAAAGGCAAAAACAAATGAATGGGACTATATCAAACTAAAAAGCTTCTGCACAGCAAAAGAAACTGACAACAAAACAATCAAGTAGGCAACCAAATGGGAGATATTTGCAAACAGTTGTTCTGACAAAGGTTTAATTTCTAAAATATATGAATAACTCATAAAACTCAACACCAAACAAACTATCCAATCAAAAAGTTGGCAGAGGACCTGAAAACACACCTCTCCCAAGAAGACATATGAACAGCCAATAAATATATGAAAAGATGTTCAACCTCACTGGTAAGTAGGAAATGCCAATCAAAACTACAATGAGATACCATCTTACACCTGTTGGCATGACCATTATCAACAAGACAAGCAATTATAAGTGTTGGAGAGGTTTTGAAAAAGGGAACTCTCATTCACTGTTGGTGGGAATGTAACTGGTACAACCACTATGGAAAGCAGTTTGGTGATTCCTTCTAAATTAAGAATAGAGCTACCTTATGACGCAGCAATCCCTTTCCTGGGTATATACCAAAAAATCTAAATCATGTATTCGCAAAGATATATGCATCCCTAGGTTCACTGCAGCATTATTCATGGTGTCCAAGACATGGAAACAACCAAAGTGTCCCACAATAGAGGATTGGATAAAGAAGATGTGGTATATATGCACGATGGAGTACTATTCAGCCATAAGAAAGGATGAAATAGTGCCATTGGCAACAACATGGATGGACCTTGAGAACATTATGCTAAGTGAAATAAGTCGGTCATAAAAAGCTAAGAACCATATGATTTCACTCATATGTGGCATATAAAACTGAAATTTGTGAACACCAATAGCAGTGTGGTGATTGCCAGAGTGAAGGGGTGGGGGGAGTAGGGATCCTAATATATGGTGACAGGAGATTTGACTTTGAGTGGTGGTCACATGGTGCAATATAAAGATCTTGTAATATAGAAACCCACACCTGAAACATATATGTTCATGTTGACCAATGTCACCCTAATTAATTCAATAAATCACTATTTTGATGGTTATTATAATACACATTTATTAGTGCTTTGCATTTTGTTTTAATAACCTACTTTGTGTAAAGGTAGATAATTTACTTTTTGAAGATAGAACATTCACATTTTATTAACTCTGTATCAAGCTGGAAAATAGAAAAGCCAAGTGGTTTGCATGTGAACAACCCTCTTCTTAAAAGGAAAAGTGGCCCTGACTGGTTTGGCTCGGTGGATAGAGCGTCAGCCTGCGAACTCAAGGGTCCCGGGTTCGATTCTGGTCAAGGGCATGTACCTTGGTTGCGGGCACATCCCCAGTAGGGGGTGTGCAAGAGGCGGCTGATTGATGTTTCTCTCTCATCGATGTTTCTAACTCTCTATCCCTCTCCCTTCCTCTCTGCAAAAAATCAACAAAATATATTTTTTTTAAAAAGGAAAAGTGTACTAGTATGCTATGAGCACACATGATAAAACATTCCAGCAGAGAAAAAAAAACCTTCCAGGGTAGCAGTTCCAAACATTTCCAATGACAAAGGAGGTCTTTTAAGGTCCTTTCCTACATAATAGTGCTTGGATTTTAACAATCGTACATGGTAGGGGTTGGGGGGTTAATGACAAAGTTAATTTAAATATAGTAACAATTTAAATCAGTCCTTTTCTATCACTCACAATAGCATCCCCATGAGTTTAAAAATAATTATAGAGTGTATGCCAGACATCTCTGGTTAGTGTGCAAACATTTCTAGTTAGTGGAGAGGAGTGAGTGATAACTTTCCAATTCTTGGAGCTCTGCAGCCATACAGCTGGCCACCGTTGTTCTTAAAAGATTTTGCCACTCAACTTAAGGAGGTCAACAGAGAACCATTCTCTTCTTCACTGGGTGGTGGGGGAATGGTCTTATAGTACCACCCCAGAATGGAATTTCTAAATTCTGTTTTTTTTTCTAGGGTGCTATTGCTCACCCTGAAAACCTGACTTATTAACCATAGAGTTTAGGTAATTAAAATAGGAAGCTGACTGATAAGACATTAAACCAGTATGTATAATACAGATGTCTAAGGAGGATGATATTCCCAGGGCTCTAGGAAGCATACTAATCAGGCTTTAATCAGGAACTCAACATTCAGAGAGAGAGAGAATTAATTCAGAATGGGAGATGAGGAGAGAGAGAAAGAGAGAGAGAAGCACAGGCAGAATTTCAAAAATCTTTCTGAATGAATCTCTTCTTGGTAGGGGGCAAACCCTGAAACCCCCTCACATGAAAGTGTATGCTGCAGTAGACTCTAGGTAGGAAATTTCCTGATAATCTGCGACAAAGAGATGCAGCTGCATACTTCTCTGGGATACAAAACCGGCTTAAACCAACACTGTTTTAGACCTTCTTGGCCTAATAATTTTCAGAGAAACAACCATGCATACAGGGTGACAAGAAGGAGTGAGAAATTCCCTCAAGCAGGCTTCTGAGGCAGACACACCTTAGCAGGTTAGGGGGTCTAGCCTGACAGGATATGTTATGTGCTGGGAAAGGTGGGATTGAGGTGTTTCTGAATTCCCAGCTCTGTACAAATCTATGCTTCTATAAAGTGCCTTTTTCTGAAAAAAAAGAGAGAGAGAAAAGGTTCAAAATGTTACTCATTTAATTACAGTATATAGTTGACAATTCTGAGCTCTTCTCCATTTGTAAAGATGTTGATAGAGAATATAGTCTCTCAGAAGGCAGAACCTAGAGAAATGTGCCCGTAGAGGGATAATATATACTTCCCTTATCTCCTTCCTAATTTTTACAAACTTGGGACCAAACTTTGTCAAACAGTGGGGCAAGGATGGTGACAGAACTACAGGCTCACATACTAAGAAGCAAACACTTGATGCCTAAAATAGATATCCATGAAAAAGAATTACTCACAGTTCACCAGTAACCATTCCAAATTCATGGTTTTAACATATTAGTCAATAGTGATAACATATGTTCTCTTCAAATAGCTTTTCAAAGTCTGCTGTAGTTTTCCCAGTGTTCATAGGCAAGTTAAAACTTACTGATAAGTTTAAACAAAAAGAACCCATAGAAGAGAACTGAGTGGGTTTACATTGTTGAAGAAGCTTTGTGACAACAAATGAAGTGATAGGAACAATTGTTAAGTGAAATAAGGACTCAAGATTAGATACTAGTATTGTATCTATGTTAAATTTCCTGAATTTGGTCACTGTATTGTGGCTATGTAAGAGAATGCCTTTGTTCTTTAGAAATACCCACCAAAGTATTTAGGAAAAGAGGGGTGAAAGAAAGAGAATGATAAAGCAACCTTGGCAAAATGTTAATAGGTGAATCTGGGTGAAGGATACAAAGGAATTTCTTGTACTATTATGTTTTAAATATGTTTGTATTGATTTTAGAGAGAGAAGATGGGAGGAGAGAGAGAGAGAGAGAAACAACTATGTGAGAGAGAAACAACATTCACCTGCCTCCTGCATTCCCCCTACCGGGGATCAAACCTGCAACCCAGGCATGTGCCCTGACCATCGACCTCTTGGTTCATGGATGACACTCAACCAACTGAGCCACACTGGCCGGGGCTCCTGAAACTATTTTTATGATCTTCTATTAATTACCTTGAAATTATTTCAAAATAAAACATTTACAAACACTTAATGAAGTAATTTTAGGTTAATATACTTAACACTATACTTGTAGACATTCAGTTTTCTCCAAGGATTGATTTAACACCAAGAGATCTCTTTTAAAAGATGCATCCTATAGTTAAGTCTTTTTAAATTGTAAGGCCACCTTTAAAAGAAAAGGAATTATTGAAATAATCCATGTCTGTCTCATAACTGATGATTTTTCCAACCATAGGTCATCACTTACATTTGATAATTTGTTTATGTTAATATCAAGTCACTCCTTTGGTATTTTATATTTCTGAATCAGTACACTATTTATATTTGTCTAGAAGAGATTTCTATTACCTTACTTCTTTTGTGTCACACCCAGCAATCGACAGATAGCTGAGCCGAATCTTAGGAAACAGCAATGCAGCTTTAACAAACAGAGTAAATGCTTATAAAAAACAATCAGAGGAGATTACCTGAACTGTTAGTCTCACAAGACAGAATCCTAGAACACTCAAGTTTCTCATCCTACAGAAAGAATTTCCAGGTTAGGTTACAAAACTATAATTAATCACAACAAAATCATTTTCAAAATCCTGTTTTTAAAACATTCCCTGAAGTAAAAAAGCCGTAAAAGGACTATATAAGGAATGAAAAGAAAGGGGAAATTGCAAAAGTAATTTATTAAATGAAGAAACATAAACAACATTTATTAGCATCAATGGCTGCAGAGAAGCAGCCCATAAAACTCACATTCACAATTTACTGGCTGAGAAGTACTGACACATTCACACATAACATTAGCACTAATTTTCCAAGGTGGTTTCCAAGGAAATGCAGCATTTTCCCATTTACAAGGCTGAAAAGATTAAACCCACATTCAGTTAAAGTGGAGCAGGATCTCAAGCACTCAAGTTGTAAATTACCAAAAGAGACTATCATGTCCCTTATGAAAGATGATAAGATACAAAAATGATACTCATCTGCCATCAAAAACAATTTCTCAGGTTGCAGTGGGCCTTTTCACTCCAAGAACTGTGTGAGAATTTTTGTAAGTAACTAATGGTAAGAGATGGGCAAGGGCTGAGTTTTCTCCAAAAGTAAAGGCAATTTACACTTGCCCTTCCATAAGGCCAAATGCCAACATATTTACTAGAGACACTCATGTGGATGATGTTGTTTCTTTTCTAACAGTAAAAAAACAATAATAACCTGTTTATGGATTTGAATAACTATAATAAAACTCCTTCAATATACATGGCACTTTAAAAATATTTTCAAATCATTTTCACATCTATAACTAATTTGATCTTTTCAACAACCTTGTGAGGTAGGCTGGGCAAGTATATCATCCAAATTTGGTAGATAAGGAAATTGAGGCATAAAGCAGTTGCAGGGCTTAACAGGGAGATGCCAATCTCTATACTGCACTGTCTCCAGTAATGAAGAAAGTCTAAATATGTTTGAAGATCTTATTTCAATATGTTTTGGGGAAATGCTTCACTTCTAACCAGCGAAATCATAATAATTCAATTGGAGCAGCTGTCATGACAAGTTGTGGCATATAATTAATTAAACAAAGCATTGAGAGTTTTTAAAATTGGAATTCTAACTGAAAACCACATTTTAACTCTCAACATGTGAGGGAATTTGCTGGTTTGTTTGTTTTAGGTCAACCTAGATCTGCAGTATGAACTATAATTTTACCATTTCAGTTCACCATGACAAATTTTCACCATACAGAAAAAAAATTAGTGGTTTCTCTCCCCCAAAATGAATGGACACACATGGCCCCAAAGCAAGGGTATCTGTATATAAGGCTTAAAGATGACAAATTGTCCAATTTAGTTACCAAACCTCTTTGTCCTTATATAAGTGGCTTATAATTGGGCTTTGGGAATCTGACAGGCCATCACTGTTAGTTTGATTTGAGGTCACTCAAAATGCTTACCTATTTTCTACATTGAAATGATTTAAAATGTATTTGAAGACAAGCTTCCAAACCAAGGCTGGGAAGTACCAGTCTTTCCATCCCTGTCTAATTCTGACAACTATTCCTGCTCAAACTAATCATTTTTAACTTGTCCCCTCACAGTCTGGCCATTAGAATCTGGATGGGTCAGAAAGTTCAGCCAAGTATTTAGACTGTCAACCCTGATTGACCTATAATGTCCAGCCTACTTAATGACAGGCCACCTGCTTCTAGGTATTTCATTATCAAGGTTCTTATGGTGGGCATTAAATCCAGGCATTTTCCCAAGACAACTAAGGATATCCTACACAATTCTTTTATGAAGCAAATAGGATTCAGAAATTATACTGAAGATCGGAGAGTATAGAACAGCCGTGGGCAAACTACGGCCCGCGGGCCGGATCCAGCCCATTTGAAATGAATAAAACTAAAAAAAAAAACAAAACAAAACAAAAAAAAACCGTACCCTTTTATGTAATGATGTTTACTTTGAATTTATATTAGTTCACACAAACACTCCATCCATGCTTTTGTTCCGGCCCTCCGGTCCAGTTTAAGAATCCATTGTGGCCCTCGAGTCAAAAAGTTTGCCCACCCCTGGTATAGAAGGAAAAAATTGGAGATCTTGTACAAATTAAATAATAATAACACCAAATCAAAATGCATTCAGTTAAAGACAAATATCTTCTGGTCATTTCATCACTTTCTATAATTTAAGTTTCTGAAGTCAACATCTAACTTGGGGGGAGAAAAGCAAACCTTTTTCCTTCAACTAATAAAAAATGAAATGTCCTATATACCTGCGTAGATGAAAGATTTCTGTAGAGTTTTCTAGAAAAACTTAACCAAAATAACTTTTTTTTTAACCTAACCAAAGTACATCTTGTCTTCAACTTTCCTAATAGGCAAGGAAGAAGCGAAGTAAAGACTATGAGTTTTATTTTCTTCTTTTTTAAGAAGGCAAATCATAGCAAATTCTACTAGAAATTCCCCAGAATTGTAGGACAGGACTAAACCTTGAAGAGGTTTAAGCCTACCTTCTTGCTGATTCACATCTTCAACCTTCCCAAGAAGTTAAGAATTCTGCTTACAAAAGCCTACATAATTTTGATGTTTTAACAACCCTCTTGTTCCAGAACTTCAACATATTGAAGGAACACATAACTTTCCTAAAATTCTAGGGCTTCCATAATGAAATTTAGAATTCAATGTTGTATCCATGGATCTTTGGGTATAAAGTCTCCAAATCTAGACTTTTAAATCAATTAGAGATAGCAGACCAAGGTGGCTACAGTTGGTTATATAAAAAGAGCCCTAATGAAATGAAAATGAAACACCTGTCTATTCAAAAATGAAACTTGAACAGCCCTCTCTGAAAACTCTGACAGTAATGATGTTGCCAATGGCAAAACACAGTCACTTTATCTGATCATCAAGCCAGCTCTTGGATAAAAACTATGCTCAGGGATAATAAAACATTAGGCTACACAGACTAGAAGTCTAGAAAACTAGAAAATAAGAAAGCCCCTGTCCTCATTATACCTGATAAATCTAACCAGCTCAACTCAGATATCATGAGTACTTTGTCAGTGAAAAACACACACCCACACCCACACACATACACAGTAATGCCTGGGTGAACATGGTCGACTGTGAATGGTGGTGCCTTAGACTGCTCCTCTAACCCTCAGAAGTTTCCCTGGCTTCTCTCCATAGTTCTCACACACCCAAGTGTTCTCTAAATGGGAGCAACTCACAAGGAGGTGAGAGCTAACTTCCTGCTTTGTTTACTGTGTGGGGCTCATCACTTGTATGAAGAACAGTAATCAACCCAAAAAACAATATGTCTTTGGCCCAAGAGACTCAGGTCCTATTAAGCCGAGCAGAGATCATCAGCATTCAAGATCTGGCTAGGCATAGAACTTATTTTACTACTAGAAGGTGTTTCATCTCTGTCTCCGGATGACCTTACATCTGTCTTTCCCACAGAATCTGAGGATTTCTGCCACCGGCAGTGACAGCAAATACATTTTAGCCACCGCTGAAAGCTTTCAGAAACACTGGAGGAAAAGAGCTTTTTGCAAGGGTGGAAGAACTGATAGAATACCAGCATGAATAGAATGGCTGTGCAATACCCAATGAGCAACTTCAAAATCAACAGAGGTGCACACACATACATATAGATGTCAGTCTTGTAAAGATACCACATAAGGAGGAGGAAGGCGTTCTCAATGAATCTCAGCATGTAGTACACCAGTAGCCGATACCAGTTCTGAGACTTGCTGATAAGGTCGGGGCTGTTGATTTTCAGCTGCACAGCTGACCAGCAAAACATGTTGATACCGGCATAAAGTAAGGTGAGGAAGCACAGCACGATGGTGGTGCCCACTCGACTGAGGGCCTTCTCGATGTTCTCAGGAAATGGGGAACCACTGCACCAGAAGAGGATCCAGGGGTATAAGAAGAAGCTGAAGAAGTTGATGAGTATTACCAGTACCACCCAGGCCTTTAGGACAGAGGTAAAGAGGACCAGGACAATGACTCGAGTGGCAATCTCAAAGCTCCTCCAGAGAAAGATGCAGACATAGGCCAGAGGCTTCACTTTTACATCATACTCATCATACTTGATCTTGATGGCTAGGATGTTGCAGCGCAAGGCTCCATACACAATGGACAATAGGGATAGTAACATGCAGACACCTGAGGAAAGATGAGAAAGAGCATTGTCAAGTCTCACCTCCACCAAGAATCCTACTATGGCAGACATGCGTCAGCCCTCTACTCATGGTGATAGCTAATAATGTTCCCTTTACTGGCTGTCTTCTCTTTCTTGTTTCCTTTCTTTTTTCCCATGCTCTTTCCACCTTCCACCAAACATACATGCACTCAAATCCTTGTCTTGGAGTCTACTTCTGGGTTAACTCAAACTAAAACACCTTTCTGACCCCGTTGCTCTGCCTGAATCCATAGAGCCCATTACATGGTGTGTTTTGCTTCTTCAATTGGCTTACAAGTTCCAGAGGAGTCAAGAGTGGCAATGTCTGATATTTCTTCTTGATCTCAACATATGCCAGTAGAAGGTACACAACAGAAGGAGCTCAATAATAAATAGCTCTAGCTGCAGGACTTTTTATATTTACATACTAACTATTCTTTACTTTTCTTTACTCTTCAGTTATATTCTTAAATTCTACAGATTGCTAAAGAAATGAGAACCTCACTGTTACTGAGTCAATCTGCCTTGGGCTGAAAGACCTGTGCTTTAATAAGTCTCAAATCTAAGCTTTATTTTTTTTCTTAAAATGACTTATGGCTAATGGGTTTATCCAGATTTATACAAAGCAGCAGAAGAAGATATGGTTCATCTAAGTGGAGCACCATGCCGTGTTTGATAGCACGACACTGCTGGCTATGAGTTCTACTATCTAAGAAATATGCTGTCAACTCAGGGGCACAAACTGTGAGGTCAAAACATAATCACTTAACACAAGCCTGCCACCAAGTCCAAATACTCAAATAAAGAGGGACAGGACTCAGGGCTTGGAGTTAGGAACCAAGAATCTGGCTCTGGTTTTAGTCTTGTCTTGCCAGGCCACACTGGGGAAATGGCAATCTCTCTGGGTTCTGTTTTCTGATCCATAAAATTAAGGTAACACTTTCCATGCCTGCTTCTTAAAATGCAATGTCATTGTAATATAATTGCCTCTTCCTAAATGTATAACTTTAAATGCATGGGAATAAAGGTTGTCTTTTTTGTTTGTTTGTTTGTTTTTTCTGAATCAATGGGAAAAAAATCTATATTTTGGTGGGCATAAAAACTCTGAAGCCTTGGTACTTATTTGCCTGGGAGAAGCTCAATTTTATGCAAAGCATCAATATTTCTTAGTCTTTGGGACTGATTTAAGTGATCAATATCATTCACTGGAAAGACTGTTGTCTACTAATCAAATTTAAAAGATGGAAATACTATCACAAGAATAGACTGGGAGGTAATTGGACTGAGTTATTTTTGTTGAGAGGCTAATTCAGTAAAATATTGTAAAGTAGTACATATTGTATGCTTACAAATTTCTATACCATAAGAATCTAGTATTGAATCCTTTTCTTTTAGTCCTTATGATTTTCCACTATAAGAAAAATATTTCAAATGCAGATGAGCTAAGTATAAATAATTAAAATGTAAATTATGAATTTATACACATACAGTATTTATATTGTTTATATTTATGGTACTTAAACTCCAAATTATTTATTGCTTTTAGCAATGTAATGACCCAAGCGATTTTTAAGCATCTATCCATTTTTCTTTTATTAGATCAATTATTTCCAAATTATATCTTTTTCTCTATCAAAAGAGTTAAATTATATCTTTTTCTCTATCAAGAGAGTTACTAAATTACTACCCAATTGAAATAATCTTGAAATTACTGACTTAAATTATCACTCCCAGTATTGGTGCTCAATGCAAAACATCACAGATAGAAAGGGGGGCAGTAAGAGATACGCTTGGGAGACAAGAAGCTTGTAGAAAATGTTTGGAATGTACATTTCTACCTGTAGAATTAAGCTGTTATCTAATGAATGGCTAGGATGATGCTCACACAAATATCTACTTATTCAGACTTAAGTGAAAAAAAAAAAGTTCCCCAACTTTATCTTCCAACAGTAAACACAAAAGGGGACCAGTTGACAGACCCACCTATATAAGTGGCACTTCATAGAAGTCTAATATTCCCTAATAATCATATTTTTATTTTCTGTGAGTGTGTGTGTGTAGGTGCATTTTGCTGTTTTCATCTTTTATTAGAATGCAATACATCACTTTAGGTAAAGCTAAAAGGAAGGCTTTGGCAATATTCCAAACCCTTGCCACACTTATAAAACTTCTTTCCACACAATTCCAGCCAAATGAACTCTTTCCAAATGAATTCTCTTCATATTTCACAAATAAATTAATTTGTATTAGGAATGAATTTGCTCATTTCTTGACTTGATACCAAAAACTTAATCTCCATGTTAAGTGATTAAAACAATTTCTTCCCCTGGGTTTCTTAGGAAGAAATTTTAGTTGTAGGACAAAAGGAACACTTTTTCTGTTGCTTTAGGGAGATAATGGAGGCTGCTCCCAAGATGGAAGATGCTAAGTGACTGTTCTCTGTAATGTGACCACTCTCAGTTGGCACTGGATCTTCAATAAAATGACTGAACTTGTGAAATGTTTGGGTGGAATAGATTTTTGAAAAAAAATTGTGAATGGATTCAAGGAAGGAACCGAAGAAGCCTGAAGGGATATGATGTACAGTGGGACTGGGAATTGAAATTTTAACCAGATTTCTAATGGTTCTTTTTGTCTCAACTCAGTAGACAAAGTGTCTGTGTCACTATCTGGAGCCAGAATCACCACTTGTACTATACTCCATCACTGCCTCCTTCTCAAAAATCTTGCTCCATCAATTATCATTTTTCTCTTCTAAACTTTAAACTGTTCCCTCTGTCTTGACTTATTCCTGAGTGTATAAATAAATATACCTAAGTCAGCTGCATCTAAAAAAAAACCCAACTTGGCAAAAATGTACAAAATTGTGGAAGCTGTGTGATAGATACATGGAAATTCATTATAATATCCTCTCAACCTATTTGTATGTTGGAAAATTTCTAAAACAATACTAAAAGGAAGGGAGGGAAGAAGGAAAGAAGGAAGGACAAAGGAAAATGAGGGTAGGAGGGAGGAAGAACCCCTCTCTTCACTCTGCATTTCTTTCTTTCCACTCCATTACTGCACTCTCCTTGACATTTTTCAGTCAACTGTCTGGAGTTATCGTTAATCAAAACACCCACTTTCTAATCCTCAACTCCTTGCAATCTGGATTCTGGTCTTGCACCTACCTGATGTCTCTGCAACATGTGACATTGTTCATTCCCCACCTTCTTGAAATTTTTCCTGTAGAATTGATCATATCATTTTCTTCTAATCATCCTCTCTCTTTGTACCCCTTCTCATTTTGTACCATAGTTTTATTTTCCCCTTCTATCCAAGGGCCTACCAGATAGATATCTCTTCCTAGATCTTAGAGGTGACTAAAAAAACCCACAAAAACAAAACTTGTATTTTCCTGAAAATCTCCTCTTAAATTTCCTCTAGAAGTCCATGATACTACTACTTCAGATCATTCTATCAAAAAATCTATGTTAACTTGAACTTTTCACCTTCCTCTCCTATCACACCGAAACAGATCTCTAAGTGTAGCTCATTGACCAGCAACTCTATCACTGACAGAGTTTGTTAGAAGTGCTCCACCTCAGACCCATTGAGTCAGAATCTGTATTTTATCAAGATTGTCCAGGTGATATATGTGACCATTAAAGTTGGAGAAGTAGTGCTTTAAGCTATTTTCCTCCTTCTATTCTGGTTCTGTCCCTTGATAATTTTCATATGCTTCTTGCCACAGGGTACTAATTCATTTGTTTCTCTACCAACAGCCTTCTTCTCTTTGTCTGCCTGAATAAATCATACTTGTTCTTCAAGTTTCAGTTAAAGTGTTACCTCATCAGTGATGCTTTTCCTCAGCCTTTATTTGATGACATTCATTCAATTGTGCTAAATGCTTCCAAGATTCTCCCAAGCTCAGTTAGCTCACTCTTTTGGGGTCTCACAGGCACCTATGCATACCTTAATTTCATCACTTGATACCTTTGATTTAATGCACTCTCCTAGAGGTTCATGCATATTTTTATCACTATCACAGAACATAATACAGTTACTAGCTCAGAGTAAGTTATGATTTATGTATGTTGAATAAGTGAAGGAGTTAAAAATTGTACAATCTGTGAACTGCCTTTTTTCACCACGGAATGAGATATTTAGGCTCCAAATCTCTCACAGACATAATTGAAGTGAGCAATGGGAACTCTCACAGCCCCTTACCAAAGGATGACTTCTGGGGTTATGGGGTTCCTATGCAAATACATCTGCTTTCATATGCCTTTCTCAATTAAGATGTTACACCTGGGGTGGGGATAGGTTAAAAAGGTAAAGAGGAATAAGAAGTTCAAACTTCCAGTTTTTAAATAAATCATAGGGAATATAGTCAATTATAACAATAACTTTTTACAGTGACAGATGGTTACTATACTTCTTGTGGTGATATCATAAGGTATGTATATATTGAATCACTATGTTGTACACCTGAAATTAATACAATATTATATGTCAACTATACCTTTAAAAAAAGTTGTACCTGTTTCCAACATTTCCTGAGAAGTAGCATCCAAATTAGAAAAAGGGTTTTGAGATTTGTCTTACACTAAAATATTTTATTTAAGGGACATAAGAGGACTGCAAAACAGGATGATGTAGGAATAGTGCAAGATTCTCTGACCACAGGAGTAACTAAGGAATCCAAGTACTGTTTCAGGATGTGGGGACCAATCAGAATTATGTCTGGATTATCTTGGCAGTGTTGTATCTTCCTGGCTAGTTCTTGAGATCACTGTTCTTGCTATATTCCATGGTTTACACCCTGGAGTTATCCTTGACCACTTATTCTAGGACCCAGTGCTCTGTTTTAATTCCAACCCAGGCCCTGATAACTGGTCAGCAAATTGTTAATGAAGACGTTGAGAATGAGAGATATCATCATCACCATGAGCTTGCACCCACATCTGCTACCCTATCTTCCCAGTTGATAGCACAAATACTGCTTTATTTTTTTATTTTAACAGCTTTATTGAGTAATAATTCATATACTATACAATTCACAATTTTAAGTGTACAATTCAATGGGTGTTTTTAAAGTAGATTCAGAGGTATGTACAACCATCACTAGAGTCAACTTTCCTTTTTCTTATTTTTTTATTGAAGTAATATTGGCTAAAAACATTATCTAAATTTCAGGTGCACAGCATTATAATTTAATATCTGTATACTCTATAGGGTGCTAGAGTATAGACCAGGGGTGGGAACATTTTTTCTGCCAAAGGATATTTGGATAATTATAACATCATTTGCAGGCCATACAGAATTATCAACTTAAAAATTAGCCAGCTATATTTGGACAAACATTTAATTAACTCACCCTTAACGCCTTGGCAGGGCCAGACCAAATGATTTCACAAGCCTTATACAGCCCTCGGGACCAAGGTTCCTCACCCCTGATATAGACTATTAAAAGTCTGGTTTCCTTCTCTTCCCTTTACTCATTTTCACACTTCCCCTAGTCCCCTTCCCCTCAGGTAAGCACCATTCTCTTGTCTGTACCTATGAGATGGTTATTATTCTGTTTTGCTGGTTTGTTACTTTTTTGTTTTATATTCCACATATGAGTGAAATAATATTTTTGTACTTTTACATCTGACTTATTTCACTTAGCATAATGTGCTTAAGATCCATCCATATTATTGTAAATGACAATATTTCATCTTTTTATGGCTGAGTAGTATTCTAGTGTGTGTGTGTGTGTGTGTGTGTGTGTGTGTGTGTGTGTGTGATCTGTTTCACTCATCTGTCAATGAACACTTTGTTTCCATATCTTGGCTATTATACACAATGCTTCAACATAAAGGTGCTGCAATAGGGGAACATATATCTTTCCAAATTAGTGTTTTCATTTTCTCCAGATAAATACCCAGAATAGGAAATGCTGGATCATGTGCTGGTTCCTTAAATTTTTTTTAAATCATCACATGAGGATATGTTTCTATTTATTTTAAAGAGAGAGAAAGGAAAAGGGAGAGAGAGAAACATCAATAGGTTACCTCCCATGTACACCCAGACCAGGGATCAAATCCAAAACATGGGTATGCACCCTGACCATGAATTGGAACCTGCAACATTTCAGTGTATGGGATGATGCCCCAACCAAATGAGCCAAACCATCCAGGGCTGGTTCCTCCATTTTCATTTTTTACAATTTATTTTTAAAATTTATTTATTAAGTAGAGGCCCTGATCGGGGCAGGTGGCCGGGGAGGAGACACGGGAGGGACTGCTAAAGGGCTTCAGGGCATGTCTGGCCCTGTCTCCCCCAGTCCCGATTGGCCGGACCCCAGCAGCAGGCTAACCTACTAGTCAGAGCATCTGCCCTCTGGTGGTCAGTGCATGTCATAGTACTGGTTGGTTGACCACTCAGTTGGACACTTAGCATATTAGGCTTTTATATATATAGACTAGAGGCCCGGTGCATAAAAATTTGTGCACTCAGAGGGGTCCCTCAGCCCAGCCTGTGTCCTCTCGCAGTCTGGGACCCCTTGGGGGATGTCCACCTGCTGGCTTAGGCCCACTCCCCAGGGGAATGGGCCTAAGCTGGCAGTCAGACATCCCTCTGGCAGCCTGGGAGCTCTCAGGTGATGTCCACTTGCCAGTGAGGAAGCAGGCCTAAGCTGTAGTCGGACATCCTTAGTGCTGCTGAGGAGGCAGGAGAGGCTCCCACCACCACCGCTGTGCTGGCAGCCATCAGCCTGGCTTGTGGCTGAGCAGAGCTCCCCCTGTGGGAGCGCACTGACCACCAGGAGGCAGCTCCTGCATTGAGCATCTGTCCCCTGGTGGTCAGTGTGTGTCATAGTGACCAGTCATTCCCAGTCGTTCTGCTGTTAGGGTCAATTTGCATATTACCCTTTTATTATATAGGATAGAGGCCTGGTGCACGGGTGGGGGCCAGCTGGTTTGCCCTGAAGGGTGTCCCGGATCAGGGTGGGGGTCCCACTGGGGTGCCTGGCCAGCCTGAGTGAGGGGCTGAGGGCCATTTCCAGGCTGGCCACACCCCCTTCAGGGTGGGGGTCCCCACTGGGGTGCCTGGCCAGCCTGGGTGAGGGGCTGAGGGCCATTTCCAGGCTGGCCACACCCCCTTCAGGGTGGGGGTCCCCACTGGGGTGCCTGGCCAGCCTGGGTGAGGGGCTGATGGCTATTTGCAGGCTGGCCAAGCTCCCCCAGTGGGGTCCCTCAACCAATGGGGGTGTGATCAGCCTGGGTGAGGGGCTGAGGGCCGTCTTTAGGCTGCCCATAGCCCCTTCATGGTGGGGGAGTCCTGCTGGGACGCCTGACCAGCCTGGGTGAGGGGCTGATGGCCGTTTTAAGGCTGGCTACAACCCCTGGCGACCCAAGCTCCCAGCCTCTCCTTGAAACTTTGTAGCCTTGAGTGGAGCCCAGGGCCGGCCGGGGCAGGCGGGAAGCCTGGCTTCCTCTATCGCCGGAGGCAACCCAAGCCTCCTGCTTGCTCCAGCTTCATGGCCACCGCCATCCTATTTGGGTTAATTTGCATACTTGCTTCTGATTGGCTTGTGGGCGTGGCTTGAGCGTAGCAGAGGGATGGTCAAATTGCATTTTTCTCTTTTATTATATTTGTGCACTCGGGGGTCCCTCAGCCCAGCCTGTGCCCTCTTGCAGTCTGGGACCCCTCGGGAGATGTCCACCTGCTGGCTTAGGCCTGCTCCCCGGGGGATTGTGCCTAAGCTGGCAGTGATACATCCCTTGGGGGATGTCCACTTGCCAGCGGGCCGAAGCTGCAGTTGAACATCCATAGAGCTGCTGAGGAGGCAGGAGAGGCTCCCACCATCACCGCTGTTATGCCGTCAGCCTGGCTTGTGGCTGAGCAGAGCTCCCCCTGTGGGAGTGCACTGACTACCAGGGGGCAGCTCCTGCATTGAGCATCTGCCCCCTGGTGGTCAGTGTGTGTCATAGTGACCAGTCATTCCCAGTCATTCTGCTGTTAGGGTCAATTTGCACATTACTGCCCTAACGGGTTTGGCTCAGTGGCTAGAGCGTTAGCCTGCGGACTGAAGGGTCCCAGGTTCGATTCTCGTCAAAGGCATGTACTCTGGTTGCGTACACATCCCCAGTAGGGGGTGTGCAGGAGGCAGCTGATCGAAGTTTCGCTTTCATCGATGTTTCTAACTCTCTATCCCTCTCCCTTCCTCTCTGTAAAAAATCAATAAAATATATTTGGAAAAAAAAATTGCATGTGCACATTACCCTTTTATTATATAGGATAGAAGCCTGGTGCACGGGTGGGAGCCAGCTGGTTTGCCCTGAAGGGTGTCCCGGATCAGGGTGGGCAGGGGACCCCCAGCTCCCTATGATCGCCCACACCGCCTCTGCTCACGATTGCTGGCTCTGCCCATGCTCAGGCTTAACACCTCTGGCCAAGGCATTAGGCCTGGGCAAGGGACCCCCAGCACCCCATCATCGCCAACTCGGCCCCTGCTCCCTGCGATTGATGGCTCCGCCCTAATGCCTCTCACCCAGGCATTAGGCCTGGGCAGGGGACCCACAGCTCTCCAAGGGACCTCCTGCCCCACCCCTTCCCAGGCCTAACGCCTGTGGCCAAGGCATTAGACCCCAAGCTCCCACCATCAGCGACTCTGCCCCTGCTCCCCATGATCGCTGGCACCGCCCCTGCCCAGGCCTAACGCCTCTGGCCGAGGCGTTAGGCCTGGGCAGGGGATCCCTCCAGCTGCAGCCGCCCCGGGATCACGGGCTCTGCCCCTGCCCGGGCCTAACGCCTCTGGCCGAGGAGTTAGGCCTGGCAGGGGACCCCCCCAGCTGCAGCCGCCCCGGATCTGGGCTCGCCTGCAGCGCCCCCGATCGCGCTCGCCCTGCCAGCTCCAGATCCAATGGCTGGTTAACCACGACATTTCGGCTATCATATGGGAA